TTTTTTGAATACCAATAGATTCTCTTATGCAATGTAAACATATTCACCAATAGGAAGAGATGCCATATTGAATAATTTCAATTGGCACCACTCACATCACAATCTATTAAATATCTCTTCTTGTAGTTGTGTGTTATACAATATATGCAACCTAAGATTGTGTCGATATGCAATGGTCTTTGTTATTCTTGTTCTTATTGATAAAAACTGCCATGTTTTGAAGCTTAAATTTATATTTATATTTTCCACTGAGTGTGCACAAGCCATACAACACACCAGAGAATATAGCTAATCATGAGTACTAATCATTACTCAGTAAGAGACATCGATATGCTCATTTTTCTAAAACTATGGTTGTCAATATTGTAATTATCAATATGTTAACAAATTAATTTAATTTAATATGGACTATGCTTTAAAAAAATTAAAAGCCAAAATATAAACATATAATATTATTTTGAAAATAATAAATGTCTGTAATAAAAGGAGAGATAAACTGATTAGTCCCGTAGAACTCAAGAAAATCTCAGGAATTTTAAGAGTAAGAAGATGGGATAAAAAAACTGGATGACCATTACACATCTGAATAATTGTACTCTCATGTCCTCTTCTCACACTTAAGGGAGGATACATTCTTCTCTCTCATTGCTACACTAGATGGAGGTCTCCTACCTAGGAAAGTTGGACCAAGGACTTTAGACGTTGAAATTCTACCACGTGGAAGTGTGGAGTGGATGTACTGGATGAAAGATGTGGGAATTATCTGACACAAGCTGCTTCTCCATAGAGCCCTGGCGGCCAGGTGTGTTGATAGTAACTGAACAGCCTCAAAAAAGAACACTGACATTTCCTGGACCTTTGCTATGGGGACATTAGAAGCCCACGTGATCACAGTGCTTGAAAAGCCCAGTCTTTCCAAGCAGAACCTACTGGTGCTTTCTTCTCACTTTGGAATATACAAATCCAGATGTGGATCACCAAATAATTGAGGTAAGTTTCCTATGGGAATAATAAAAAATAAAACAAATAACAATGACCAAAAAAAAAAAAATCAGAGAACAAAACAACTTTGAAAACAGATATCTTTACAATGATGCCAGAGATAAGAGGCCACACTGCATGCATGAAATAAGGAATGACAGAGAATTAAGGATTTAGAAATTTTAAAAAATAATAGATAAACTGAAAGCTATAATATAAATGTTGAAAGAAAATTTAAATTAGAACAAAAATAGAAGTAGAGACAATGAGAGAGAAAAGACCTGAAAATTGGAAAATTAATCCAAAAAAGCCAACATTTGATTAAGAAATTCTAAAACAAAACAAAGAGGAAAATTACAAAAAAAATTTGCCAAAATCATTTTACTACTAATGGGCATTAATATCCATATTTAAAAGTTAAATGATTCTTTGATGCAAATAGTGGAAAAGAACTCTTTATAGGCCAGATACAACCCTGCTGCATTAAAAAAAAATGTGGGGTTGAGGCGGGATGGGAGAGCATCATGAAAAACTAGAACACAGAAATAACTAGATTCTTCTAACTGAGGTGTTGGTAGGAAATTCCATACATGCAATATATTTTTCATTATTGATATGGAGCCCTCAGTCTAAATTTACATAAAGGATAGCAAGTTTGCAGTTTTGGAGTATTCAAGTGGGGAAGATTCTTAATTTCAAGAGGACTGCAGATACCACTGAGTTTAGGGCAACCCTTTAAGGACAAAGAAAGGTACTAGGAAGTAACATCTCTGTGGTGCACCAAAAAGTTGCTTAATATTTGATCTACTAATCTTCACTATTTCAAATTAAGCTTCTATTCCAAATTAGTTTGCTGACCTACCAGGTACAAGCATATATTTTATAAACCCAAATCTATACTTCAAAACAACCTTGGAAAAAATGCTTATTGAACACTACTTCTCCACAAAACTGAAAATGGCTTTCTCTGCCATAGAAATTGATCTTTCCATCAGCTTTTAATTAAAATCGAACTTTTATTAATATGGGAACCTAGATTAAAAGTTTGTAATTATATGTAATAATAAAGCATGTACATAACCTTAATTATAGTGTTTATAAACTAAATATAATAATGTTAAAATTACCATCTATAGATTAAATTATACATAATGTTATATCCAACAAAGCACCACTGAGTTTAGTGGAGCTATACAATGAAAGAACTGAAAAAAAAATCCAACTGTATAGCTATTTTCAAATTGTACTCAGCTATTACATTCTTCAATAAGTGAAAATCACAAGAATTTAAAAAGTAAAAGTTTCAAATGAAAGTTCCATTTAGAAAAATGCTATTATTTTCAAAGAAAAATTGTCTCCTTTATTTTCAGAAACAAAGTGTAATTCCACTATACCCCCACATCCAAATAAAGCAGAACACGTAGTCATTCTGGTTGAGATTCAAAGGACTTCTTTCGATGTGTGAGTCTAACTGGCTAAACCTTTCACAAATCAAAAGAAATAGATTAAGCTGTTTAGGAGAAATGTTTTCATGCTCGCTTAAAAAGATCTTGATATTTTAAACTATTAACTTTTTTTCATTTTTACTTTGAAAGCTGAAAAATTAGTAGTTGTTTTACAAGATTATTATTTTCTCTTCATTTGTGCCTAATGAGGTGTCTAGAACATGCTTACAAAGTATTGAATGATATGGCAATGGTCATGTAAACCTCCCAACCAAAACGTCTTGCTACACCTGCAAAACATGTTTTTTGACTCAAAATTATAAGGCAGAATGACTCACATTTTATATTTGAGTAGTATAAGTTGTTAATATCTTATTTGTTCACAACTCTCCAGATTTTGAAAATTAGTTTGTGTCACATCAGTTGTTGGGATAATCAGGAAAGCTTCAGCTAAATGTTAAAGAAGAATATAATAATATGTCCAGGTCTCAATTGCACCCCAACCCTAGGACCAGGTGCAGAGTGAGCAGGTGAAATTCATAGGAAATTAATTAATGGGTTATTTAGAACCAGAATCTACTAACAGGAAATTTGTATGCTAAAATTTTCTTGCTAAATGGCATTGCAATCAAGCATGAGCTAATATTTATTTCTAGGTGGCAATATCAGCAATTAGAAGTCGTTACATGAAGAGTATATAATAAATTAGAGAAATAAGAAAAACTAACTGAACATTGACTAAACTTATGTAAATTAGAATAAATAACTAAAGCTATTTTAAAGGCAAAAAAGAGTAGTCACTGAAATGTGTGTGACCACATGCACCTGTCTTTTCATAGATTAAACCTAAATCTTCTAACAAATGCCTTAAAGGCAATGCGTATAATTATGTTTGAAAAAAAATCTCTTAAACTTTAGGATGAATGACCAGCACAAACTATAATCCAACAGAAAAAAGAAGCATTTCTTCACTATTCAAAAATTTATAATTTTTAAAATATGTGCTTTAAGATATGTCTTCAGCTTTTCAGCAATAGGGTCATCTACATAGACAAAAATAAATCTGCTAAGTACATGTAAAACTTATATGTGCCATTGTAACAAAACCTCTTTAAATGAACATACTGTCTCACAGGAAGGAAGTCAAACTCTGAAACGACTAAAAATGAAGTGGGTGGGACACCTGAAGCTAGAGGAGAGCCATATAATTGTTTTCCCATCAACTACTGCAGTCCTGTTGAAAATGTCACCGCGACTCAAACAACCAAGAGTTTTGCCCAGACCTCTGAGACAGAAGATTGGGTTTGAATATCTTCTCTGGGGCTGAAAGTTCTTGGAGAGAAGTAAAATTATGAGCTAGAAACGAGAGAGAGAGAGAGAGAGAGAGAGAGAGAGAGAGAGAGAGAGAGAGAGAGAGAGAAAGAGAGAGAGAGAGAGAGAGAGAGAGAGAGAGAGAGAGAGAGAGAGAGATATCCTGGCAACTAAAACGTTGTCTGGCTTGCAATCCACCTGCATCTCCAGGGACAGGTACTTAGCTCTCTGTCCCACAGAAAGTACAGGTGAAAACACAGGAAGCCCAAAAGAACTACACAGCACCATTGAAGAGGTACTTGATTCCATTCCATGGGAATTGAAACATGGGGTAAATAATGATTGACTGGTAATATTTCTGACATTTCTATCTAAAACCTCTATTCACTTTTAGTACAAGCTAAACAAGCAGGTGCCCACACAGGTGAGACTAGAATGATTTTATCTGTTCCGTCTCCATTGACTACTAGAATGATTCTTTACAGGAAGGCTTATGCCATTTACAGAACCTTTATACCATACATGCAAGGCTTAAGGCAGGGCCAGGAGAGGAAGACAGGAGGGAGCAATCATTTCCTTACTATTTTATGCTAGACTTTTGGACCACTCAATGCAGTTCTATGACCCAAACAACCAAGTCCAAATCTCATAATTTGTTATTATTTTTTTACGTTAGTTCCTTCTTATAGGAGAAAAAAAATCACATTTTCACATGATGAAATTCTACATAAGTAAAAAGTAGAGTTATAAACTGTTTTAACTTCTCTGAGTTAGTTAACTCTATACTCAAAATGTCATGATTGGTGGCAAAATTTGAATTTTCAAAATGTAATATTGAAATAAAGTTTAGTAGGCAGATGAATTTTTATAGATGATATTTTACACTATGAGTTTCATACCTACTAATGGATGAAATATTAATAAGTGAAAAAAAAATTTTCAGAATATTCAGTCATCAAATCTCACATGAGCAATTGTTTTTCCACCACCAAAATTTTAAATTCTAACTTCCCTCCCACCCCAGAATTGAACTTTCATGATTTTTTTTCTACTCATCCATCTTTACTAAGGATGCAAATTTCCCCACTATGTTTAAAAGTTATTTCCAAAAAGAGAACGTAAAATGGGTGATGGAAATGTCTTCTCAACTCTACCATATTAAAAGAAAAGAAGTACATTTTGAAGGAAAAGAAAAAGCTAAGCACACAGGTATGTTTAAGATCAGCTTGAATTAATTTACATACTTAAAAATCATTGACTCACTTTGAACTCCATGGGAGCGTACTATTTTCCAGGTCTCTGATGCCACTTCTTTGACATCCACTTGATAGTGATGGATAGGCACACCTCCATGGGAATCTGGCTTGTTGAAAGAAATTTTGGCTGTGGTCTGTGACAGCTCTATAATCTTCACCCCATAGGGACTGGATGGTACATCTATGAAGGAATAATCACAAAGAAAATATAACCTAATGTAGATGGACACTGTACAGATGATGTGCTGTGGAATTGTGCACCCGAAACGTGTAAAATTTTGTTAACCAGCATCACCCCAATAAATTCAACAAAGCTGTTAAAGAAAAAAATATATATATTTTAAAGTGAATTAATACATTCATAAAATGGGATTAAGAGACATGTGATAAACTTTCTAAAAAAAGACCTATGGTATTCTGAGAATTAGAAATAAAGGAATGTTGCTGCCTATACACTTAATACTTTGAATTACAAAGCTTGCATAAACTGCTGAATGATCTGTATAAATTGCAAGAAAGTATACACTAATCAATTTTTACTAACTGAGCAAGCAAACTGTAAAATATTCAATATCACATTTCATTTATTGAGAAAATAATTTTACTTCTTACTTTTCTCTATAATATCAGCATTTTTTTTGCACTCGAAGAAAACAAGCTTGTGAGAGAGAGGATGGAGAGGGAATGCAGGTATAATTAAAATGTAATAAGAAATATTTTTTGAAACATTAGTATAAATAATCTCTTGTGAAAATGTAAGATTTGTGTGTTGTTTCATTAAAATTATATTAATAATTTGGGGGCAATAGTTATGTGTAGAGAAAATGTCATTATGAACTAAATAAAACTATAAACTATCTGATTAAATTTTATTTATGTATTTAATTAAAATAAACCTTTAGTTGAGATATTTAAGTTTTAATTCTTGTATTTAAAAAATAACTATAGCCCAGCCAGTGTGGAAAGTGCAGGAGGCAGCCGATCAATGATTCTCTCTCATCATTGATGTTTCTATCTCTCTCTCCCTCTCCTTTCTTCTCTTAAATCAATAAAAATATATTAAATAACTATAAATCATTCTTGTGTTTGTTTTTGTTATCAGTCTATTACATTATTTTCAAGCTCAATAAGGTATCCTGAGTGGAACCTTATTTTCTTTTCCAGTTTACAAAACTTTATAAAATGCTATCTGTAAGGTCAAACAAGCAAAAGGAGAAAATAACAAATAAAATATCTCAATAAGGAAATTTATGACACCTCTACTCCAGAAACCTGAAGAATTACAGAAATTAGAAAATCACATTAAACTTTAAAAATATCTCTTTCTGTCTCTCAATCTCTCTCTTTCTTTTCAATATAACATTCAAAATAATCATAAAGTTTAGTAATTTACATATAATGAAGAAATCAAGAGAAGGCTGAGACTCAGAATGCACAAAAGGAGAATTAAGACAGATCAGGAGAACAAAGAAGGGTGGTTAGGGACCAAGATTAAGATCATTCACACTCTCATATTCCCAGTCACTATATACAGAAGCAAAAAAATGGACAGTGAAGATAGGGAAAAGACTGATGCATTTGAAATATGATGCTGGGGGATAGCTCTATAGTACCCTGGCCTGCCAAAGCCATAAGCAAGTGGGCCCTAAAGCAAATGAAGCCTGAAATATTGTTGGAGGCAAAAGATGACAAAATTGAAGTTGTCCTTCTTTGGGCACATTATGAGAAGGCAGGGTTCTTTGGAAAAGACAATAATGCTGGGAAAAATAGAAGGCAGCAGGAAAAGAGACAGACCCCGTATGAGATGGATGGACTCCATGAAACCAGCCATAAGCATGAATTACAAGAGCTGAGCAGGGCTGAGGAGAAGAGGACAGTGTGGACATCACTCATTGGTAGGGCCACGAGGAATCAGAGCTGATTCAATGGCACACATGTTATGTAAATATATAAATAAATATGCTATTTTATCTCTAAAAGCAAAAAAAAAACTTGATTGAAAATAATGCAGTAAATTTCCATTCAGATACAATCAAACATTCATATAAAAATTTAATGGCTATCAAAACCCAAATGTGCTGTATTTGCTGGAGTTAAAAGAGCACACTGTAAATCGTATAAAATATGCCTTATAAATGGTACTGGGTAGGATCCTGGAAAGCAGGTTCATGACATTTTGGGTATGAATGTTGTAAAGAAATGCATAGTGTACATTTCAGCTCTAATTACTAACAGTAAATTCTATGAAGTGCATTATGTTATAACAGGTTTGGAAATAAATGTGTATAACAGTGATGCATTCTAAAGTCTTGCTATTAAAATCTTATTTGGAAATAATTTTAATTATTGGAATATTCTATGTATGATGTAATACATAAATATCATCATGGTTATCATGTTTCTTTATTCCCTAAGTTATAACTGTAGATTATTTTCATCAGTAAGTTTGATCTAAAGGTTGCAGAGAGGCAAAAAAAAAAAATCACACACACACACACAGGTTTTGTGTGTGTGTGTGTGTGTGTGCGCGCGCGCGCGCTGAGTGACTCTCCAATGTCAATTAGGTCTAAGTCAAAGGCGGGGCGGACGTCTGGTCCATGGGCCATATAAGGCCCACAAAATCATTTGGTCTGGCCCTGCCAAGGCATTAGGAGTGAGTTAATTAGATGTTTGATCAAATATAGAAGGCTAATTTTAGGTTGATAATTTGGTATGGCCCACAAATTACAAAAATCCAAATGGCCCTTGGCAGAAAAAAAGGTTCCCCACCCCTGCTCTAAGTGGATATCACAGTAGTAATGATAATCTTCAGTGTGATGATACATTTCACAACGAAAGGTGCTAAGTGCTAAGTAATGGGGGAGAAAAAGAAGGTGTGATTCCTCTTGAGTTCCCACCTTTTTAAAAAATATATTTTTATTGATTTCAGAGAGGAAAGAATAGGGAGAGGTAGAAGCATCAATGATGAGAGAGAATCATTGGTAGGGTGCCTCCTGCATGTCCCCCACTGGGGATCAGGCTTGCAAACCCAGGGATGTGCTCCAACTGGGAATCAAAGTGGGACCTCCTGGTCCATAGGCCGATGCTCAACCACTGCCTCTCCAGACAGGGGTGAGCTCCCACCTTTGACCATAGGGCATGTACATGGTCCTTGGTTCTTACACTGTAAACAGAAGTAGACACTATTTGCTAAGCTGTGCACCTCAACATGGAATACTTCCACAGAAATAAGAGCCTTTTTATCCCTAGCACAATGGTGCTTTCACCAAACTTGGGCCAGTGGGTATCTTTCCCTAACCAGACAGTCTATTTTCACAGCTGCTGACTGTTACCTGATTTTCATTTAGATTTAGTTCGTGTTGGCCTCTTCTTTCTATGCCTGACTAAGAGAAGAAGTATGTTCATGATTTGTGCAGTTCTAGTACTCTTCCTAAACATTTTTGACATTCTAATGTGATGACTTGAATTATTAGATATTTATACATACACACATACATATGTACATGTAACATTGAGAAAAGTGACTAGAATATATCAAGTCCTCAGGAAATATATGATGAATTAAATATATATTTCAGAAATTAAAAATAAAGATATAAAATGAGTCCAAGTGAATAGTGTCTGGTAAGGCTAGAACTAACATCTTGATGTCTTCTTCCCACTTTCTCAATTGTTTTATAATCATATTCTCCTTTGTTCAATCTCTTATGTATATTACTATTAATTAGTCTCACAGTTATTTTCATCTTTCCTGTATCACAATTCTTGTATCCAACTCTTCCTTCCTGTTTCCGCTATTAATTCCCAAGCCCAGGACCTATCTGCCTCTGCCAGTAATGCCATTTGTGGCTCTCAGCTTCCTTTTCTATTGGAAATCGCACCAAATTACAACCCAGATGGTGTGTCAATGCAAAATCAACCTTTCTAGAGCACCACTCTAATCATGCACCCTCCCTGAGCTGGGGATTCAGGAGCTTCCTTTTCTTTACAAAGGCAAACTTATACTTTTTACTCTAGCTTTCAAGATCCTGAATTATCTAACCTCATTGGATATAAGCAAACAGATCATATTGTAAAAGACTATCAAACATAGTCCAATGTTGCAAATGGGGCTTGTGGTTATTAAATTTCATACACAATGCTCCCATCATTATTAGCATATTTTTTCTAAACTAATTCTTCACACTTCCCCAAATCAATAATTAATGAATGCCACCGCCCATCACTGAATAAATAAATAGAAACATTGTGAAAGCATGCATTTCTTTATTTACATTTTTTTCACCTCTACTACTGTGGGATAAAGAGTCTGGCTATGTATCATCAGAATTTACGGATCCAAGTCTAGCCTTGCTGCTTTTGTCAACTGAAACCTTGGACAAGTCCCTTAATCTTTCAACCAAATTGTACCCTACCATTGGATGAACCTATAGTGAAAGTCTGCCTTCCCTTTTCCCATGTTAAACCCACTATCTCTAAAGGGCATTTTTTTTTTAATTTCAGAGAGATGAAGAGAGAGAGGGAGAGAGAGAGAAACATCCATGATGAGAGAGAATCATCAATCAGCTGCCTCCTGCACGCCCTCTACTGGGGACGGAGCCTGCAACCCAGGCATATGCCCTCCTGGTTCACGGGTTGATACTTAACTGCTGAAGCATACCAGCCACACTAAAGGGCAATTCTTTTCCTTGTCTCTTCTCCATAAGATGGCATCATCAGGTAGTTCTTTTCCCCGCCCCTGTTCTTCTCTTTTGGATTTTTATTCTTTTTTCTCTGTTTCATTATCATGAACTATAATGTCTTTTGTGAAAAGGCAAACTTTTTTCAGTTTCACTATCTTCTCAGGCAAAAAAACCCTCTTCTTTTGTTTCCCTGTCACACTATTTGAATATGTTGTTCCTAATTTCTGCCCTGACATCTTTACTTCTTCTGGGAAATTGGTTTCCTGAAATGCTAGAAAAAGTAGCAAGTAAGGCAAGGTTCAGAGTTGCTGACCAGCTCTTCTCCCACTGATGAGGAGGTGATATCGCCAACCTTAGACCAATGGGAAGAGTTTGAAATTTGTAAACCTCTCTTTAAGTGGAAGTACCAAAATGAATATTCTTGTAGAATGTTGTCTTAAACTTTATCCTAGCCTTTTTCTATTGACACTTCACATATATTTCTATCATTTAAGCTACT